ATTTTTTACTCAATTTTTATTATTTTAGAAATACTGTTTTACTTTCAATTTTTCCCTTTTTCTGAAAAATCGGTTTTACTTTCAATTTTAACTGTTTCATAAAATATCGGATTCACTTCCAACGTTAACTATTTCGTAAGAATTGGTTTTATTTTCAATTTTAGCTATTTCATAAAAATTGGTTTTACTTTCAGTTTTAACTATTTCATAAAAATTGGTTTCACTTTCGGTCGTAACTATTTCATGAAAATTGGTTTCGCTTTCAGCGTGATGTATTTTACAAAAACTGATTTTACTTCCAATGTTATCTACCTTTTACACATATTAGTTTCACTTTCAATTCGACTTAATCCATAAAATCTGGTCGAACTTCCAACAATATTTCTTTCACAACATTTTTCAATCGTCTCACCTATTTCTAAATTATTCCACATATACATGTATATGTATCTGTGACAGTGTATCACCGAGACGAAGAACTCGACTAAAAATTGGACGCTTATCGACGCGTCCAGCATAGTCTATTCCACGTGTCCAGCGATTTAACGAGGTTCCCTGAAATGACCCGAGGAGACCGTCGGACCCCAAAACCAGCGAAAGTCGGTCTAGGATTAATTTACCGAGTGTACGGCGTGGACATAGACGAAACGACACCGTTCGCCTGAAGTCCGAGCGTGTACCTCCAGGAGATCCCATCAGAGAATGTTGGGGGAGGGCGCAGCCGAAGACAGATCACGAAGAAAACAGCCTCGAGGATCTAGCGATCCCTAATCCGTCCTACTGTACAGCTGTTCGCAAAATTGGGCAAACGTTTGCACGGGTAATAATTAAATTACATTGCGAAAATTAACACGAACGTGTTTGTAGCTATTATAATTTTAGGGTCAGACGTTGGATTCATGTATGAGATCATTTTTAGAGACAGCTATAGTAAATTCTGCCTAATTAACGCTCACAATTTCGGGAAGGGGGGGTATTATTATTCGAGTCTTGCAGCTCGTTTTTATGGTTGTTGACAATTGTCCATTTTTGTATGGAAGCTGAGGGTCAATTAGGGAGAATTTACTGTATATTCATCGCTATAGTAAATCTAGAGTCAGATATGTTCATCTATAAAATAATTCCAGTTCCATATTCGTCACTATACCAATTTGAGTGTCAGACGTATTCATCACTATAGTAAGTCTAGAGTCAGCTGTTTATCTGTAAAATAATTCTAGTTGGTTTGACATACTTGTCACTATAGCAATTATAGTTAGTCTGATATATTCGTCACTATAGTAATTATAGTTAGACGTGTCCATCTATAAAATAATTCTAGTTAGTCAGACATATTCGTCGCTATAGGAATATAATTCCAGAAAAATATTGCTTATATTTTCCACTCATTCCCCAAACAATCATACAATTATGGCATTAGATAAAATATCTATAAATAAATAAATATCTATAAATAATATCTATAAATAGACTGCCATAATTCTTGGTCCTCAAGGTCACGCGAAGATGACAATATTACACAGTTCGTTGAACTCGTCTTGTCTTTGGTTATTCCATAAAAGTAATAAATTTCGTTAAAAAGATATCGATGGCCTCGAAAACAATTTATTTCTTTATAATATTTAAATCGAACCTTATAATCTTGTCCTCTGACATTTCTCCCGATTATCATTAATAAACAATAAATTATTATATTCAAAAGCCATTAATTTATATTAATTTGTATTATTTCTTATTAATTGTTGCTATTCGAGGTCACGCGAAGGTCACGCTACGACGGGTCGTTGAACTCGCCCTGACCTAAGCAATCGCATGAAAGTATAGTGGAGATATTCGCATGCGAAAAGGAAAAAAATGAGGAAAAGAACAATAACGACCTTGGAATCTCGAGAATTATGACTCGGGAGAGAAATGTGTCCGTTCGATCTGAAACATAGTGATAGTCTGGTTGTATTGTTAATGATAAAGGGGACGCTGGAGAGGTGGAAGTTAGGTGGACCACCCTGTAGGTAGACAGGGCCGTAAACCATAAAGATCTCGTACGTTGGACCGCTGCGAATCGCCCATTGACCACCCACGTGGCCTCGAATCACCATCGCCTATTTCTTCTATAGGAGGTTCTATCTCGCCCCCTCCACCACACCCCTAACCACGATCTTCGCCAGCTATGATTATCTGTTTCCGTTTGCTAGTGGACCGCGACTTTATTCAAGACACTGGCTCTTGGTGCCAGTGAATTGGACACTTCGGACGCCCTCGATCAGAAAGAAGCCTGTAGCACTAGAAATTGAAGTACATGGATTAATTGATATCATTTGGATTAATTGCAATAGAGATTTAAGCCTTTGAATTAATTGAAATCGGAATTAAAACATTTGGATTAATTTCTATAAAGACTGCAGCACTTGAATTAATTGAAATCAGAGTTACAACATTTGGATTAATTGCAATAAAGATTATAGCATTTGAATTAATTGAAGTCAGAGTTAAAGTATTTGAATTAATTGTAATGAAGATTAAAGCATTTGCATTAATTGCAATAAAGATTAAGGCATTTGAATTAACTGAAATCGGAATTAAAACATTTGGATTAATTTCAATAAAGACTGAAGTACTCGAATTAATTGAAATTAGAGTTAAGACATTTGAATTAGTTGCAATAAAGATTATAGCATTTGAATTAATTGAAATCAGAGTTAAAGTATTTGAATTAATTGTAATGAAGATTAAAGCATTTGCATTAATTGCAATAAAGATTAAGGCATTTGAATTAACTGAAATCGGAATTAAAACATTTGGATTAATTTCAATAAAGACTGAAGTACTCGAATTAATTGAAATTAGAGTTAAGACATTTGAATTAGTTGCAATAAAGATTATAGCATTTGAATTAATTGAAATCAGAGTTAAAGTATTTGAATTAATTGTAATGAAGATTAAAGCATTTGCATTAATTGCAATAAAGATTAAGGCATTTGAATTAACTGAAATCGGAATTAAAACATTTGGATTAATTTCAATAAAGACTGAAGTACTCGAATTAATTGAAATTAGAGTTAAGACATTTGAATTAGTTGCAATAAAGATTATAGCATTTGAATTAATTGAAATCAGAGTTAAAGTATTTGAATTAATTGTAATGAAGATTAAAGCATTTGCATTAATTGCAATAAAGATTAAGGCATTTGAATTAACTGAAATCGGAATTAAAACATTTGGATTAATTTCAATAAAGACTGAAGTACTCGAATTAATTGAAATTAGAGTTAAGACATTTGAATTAGTTGCAATAAAGATTATAGCATTTGAATTAATTGAAATCAGAGTTAAAGTATTTGAATTAATTGTAATGAAGATTAAAGCATTTGCATTAATTGCAATAAAGATTAAGGCATTTGAATTAACTGAAATCGGAATTAAAACATTTGGATTAATTTCAATAAAGACTGAAGTACTCGAATTAATTGAAATTAGAGTTAAGACATTTGAATTAGTTGCAATAAAGATTATAGCATTTGAATTAATTGAAATCAGAGTTAAAGTATTTGAATTAATTGTAATGAAGATTAAAGCATTTGCATTAATTGCAATAAAGATTAAGGCATTTGAATTAACTGAAATCGGAATTAAAACATTTGGATTAATTTCAATAAAGACTGAAGTACTCGAATTAATTGAAATTAGAGTTAAGACATTTGAATTAGTTGCAATAAAGATTATAGCATTTGAAT